CTAGGGACAATTGTTTGTAAATTTAGCCATGAATAACTTCTCTTCCCCTCTCTGTGTATGCCACTTCTCCCCTCAAGGGCTAGATTGGAATTTGCCTTGACCAATGGAATGCAGTGGAAGTGATGTTTGTGACTCCCAGAGGGAGGCTTTACTTAAAAGGTGTTACAGCTTCCATGACTGCCCTCTTGCAGGCCGGCAAGCATGTCATAGAATCTTTGTAGTTTGTTTGTGAGCCCTCTTAAAGGGGAAAAGCGTCAGAACAGGAGCTGTAGATGTGAGGATATTAAGTAGTCATTCAGACCAGTTAATATCCTCACATCTACAGCTCCTGATCTGACCCTTTTATATAAGGAATGGGAGAGCACCAAAGACAAACTGCCCCTACTGGGCCTGGTTGTTTTTGCTGAGAAGGAACCAAGGAATGAAGTAGAGGGACTTCCAGGTGGTGGTTTCAACTGGCTTTGGAAACTTGTTGACCTGCCCTGGGTGTGGCACTTGGGAGGGCCAGAGCTGTTAGTGTTGGCTGATGTAAGGACTTATCCATTAGTCAGAATGATAACCGTAATTGTGTTAGATGGTTGCTGGCCCTTGGATCGCTAGAGCAGGGCGCTTTTCCTAACCATTGGCCCTGGGAATTGGCTACTAAACACATTGCAAAAGTCCTATTGCCAAAGCTACCCTAAACACTGTTATGAGTTGAATTTATGTCTCACCCAAATTAGTATGTTGAAATTCTAACCCTTAGTACCTCAAAATGTGACCTTATTTGGAAATAGTGTTGTTCCAGATATAATTAGTTAAAATGAGGTCATACTGGAGGAGGGTGGGCCCTATTCCAATCTGACTGATGTCCTTATAAAAAGAGGAAATTTGGACACATGGAGAGAACACCGTGTGAAGATGAAGGCAGAGACCAGGTGATGCAGGAGCCAAGGAATGCTGAAGATTGCTAGCAAGCCACCAGAAGCCAGGCAGGCGGCACAGAACACGTTCTCTCTCAGGGCTCTCAGAGGGATACTAAATCTTGGAATTCTAGTCTTCACAATGGTGAAACAATGCATTCTGTTATTTAAACCTCCCAGTCCGTGGTCTTTTATTATGGCAGTTGTTAGAAACGGATACAAGTACCCATGCCTCTTCCTCCCCTTTCCTCGAATCTCTGCAGTTCTGGGTAAATGATCACAGGGATGAACTTGTGCCTATGATAAGGAAGCTGCCAGATGGCATCAGGTAAATCTGATGCCAGTTAAAAATGAAAATTCTCATTTCTTCAAAAAGGTTTCTGAAAGTCAATTTATTGGATATTTCAGGTACAAACAAAAGGCGACAATTCTTGATAGGAGCTCCACTTTAATACATTGGAAATTATACCAAATAAGTTGTTTCATCTACTTTCTTTGAAACCTTTTTACCCAAGAATGTCTTCACTTATTCTAGAGTTTTCTGGGAGTTAACCTTCAGTTGTTTTTCTCCGGAAACCTGATTTATCCTAACTGTATTAGGATTGGCACTGGATTATTCCCATCTAATCATTTGTATGAGTTTTAGTGCCATAATTGTTGAAAGCTGATATTAGAATCTTTAAAGTGGCATATCCTATTCAGCAATGTTTAGTGCGTTATAATAAGAATAATATTGGATGCATTATGCAGTAATAATGGAGATCACATTTGCAAAACCATTGCAGTAATGGGACGTTCTAAAATGTGAGGAATAGAAAAAGCACACTGGGAGAGCAGGGCATGTTTTATTCACAGCCTTTTGGCTGCCTGTACTCTCAGGTCAGAAGGCAGAGAAGAGCTTCTGTGCTCCTCAGGGAGGCACCACACTGGGCTGCGTGATGTAGACCAACCTATGTAATTCTGATTGAAGTGGGGGATTTTCAGTCACTGGAATCTAAAGAGGGTGGGAGTGTTGTTGTGTTTGAAAATACTTTTTGCTCTTTGGAATAGATTAAAACTTTATAAATGAAAATTGGATTTTCAAAGAAAGCCTGTATTTGCTAAGATTTGGCCTAATGATTTGGTTCCCTTTGAGTTGCTTATAACTTCTGATTGATAGTTTATTTTTAAGATGTTTGGAATAAATATATAAAACATATTCCTTAAATATCACTAATAGAGTTTTTAGGTCAATTTAAAGCCAATGAACTTTACTCTGTCCCTTTAATATTTTGATGTATTCCTCACATTCAACATATGCAAACTCACAGAAGACCATGGTGAACATGAATCTGTAAGAAACCTAAGACATTCTTGGCTATGTGAATTGACACAACAAATAATTGGCTTTGAGTTTTAGATATTTTATTTACCAACTGGAAAATTTTATAAAATTTTGATTAAATATTTCCTTTGGCAGCTTAATTCCCCTTAATCCTAGAGTATTCTGTTTAAACCTGTCAAGATTAAACAAAGCTATGGACATGCCAGGGCAGCAGAGATGGAAGAAAGAGTTAATTTCTTTATTAATAATGTTTTATTTATTTATTTTCATTTTGTAGAGATGAGGTCTCACTATGTTGTCCAGGCTTGTCTTGAACTCCTGGACTCCAGTGATCTACCTGCTGGGATTACAGGCATGAGCCACTGCACCTGGGTAAATTTCACTGTGTCTGATTCACAAGAATTATTTTAACCTGGTGTGTGTTCATATGCAACCTGTCTTTGCTCGGTTTCTCTCATGAAAAAAGGTTTTGTTTTGTTTTCACTTTTTCTCTTTTGGTTTGTAACTATTGAACTGACAAGCTGCTTTATAGACACTCAGTCTTTCCTAAGGCACTCAGTATTCTCAGGGTATTACCATCACTTTTTCCTTGGTGGACCAGGAGGTACAATCCAAGGCAAGAATGTGAAACCATGTCTCACAGAGTCTCAGGCATCAGGAGAAAGCCCATTTTCTTATACCTGTTATATATAAATTCTGTGTACCTTCTCTTCCATTCAACTCTGAAATCACCCAAGGAGCATGTGTTAGGCTGTTCTTGTGTTACTATAAATAAATATCTAAGCCTGGGTAATTTATAAAGCAAAGAGGCTTACTTGGCTCATGGTTCTGCAGGCTGTACAGGAATCATGGTGCTGGTATCTGCTCCTGGCAAGGCCTCAGGGAGCTTACAATCATGGTAGAAGGCAAAGAGGCACCAGCCTATCAGATGGCAAGAGAGGGAAAAATAGAGGGGGCAGAGGTGCCACACTCTTTCTACACAACCAGATCTTACGTGAACTCAGAGCTAGAACTCACTTGCTAGCTCCAGGACAGCACCAAACCATTCATGAGGGACTCACCCCCATGACCCAAACAGCTTCTACCAGACACACCTCCAACATTGGAAATCATATTTCAAGATGGTATTTGGAGAGGACAGTCATCCAAACTAGATCAGAATGTTTCTGTGCACAGGGAGCCTCACATGAGCCTCATATGAGAAACATATCAAACAGACATGCAATGAGAGGGGAGAAAATGGGCAGCCTCCATCTTGGTGTTTATCTGTTTTTTCTAAACAGGCAAAGGTATTGCCACATTCCTGGGGCAGGATATTTCATGACTTCAGTCAGCAGCTTCCTGAAGGGCTGCTTAAGGTTCTGCTGTCCCATCTTGGGGCTACAGCCTTTGCTCTTTTGCAATGATTTCCTCCTGCCCCATGATTCCAGTTTATGTCTGCTGTCAGCTTTCCTCCGCATGGTAAAATTATCCCCCTTGAGAAGTGCTCTGCAAATGTAAGATGGCAATATTGATAACAACACTTTACTCACTGACCCATATTTGCTCTCCCGATAGCACCTTCTTTTCCAAACCCCAAACCTCTCTGGGACTCTGACTTACCCATTTTTTCTCTTGGGTATATTGGAAGAGGCAACATTATATAGGGGCTAAGAATGCAGGCTCTGTAGACAGACTCTGTTCAGAGTTCACCACTGCCTCTCTAGCCATGTGAGTGGCGATGGGTTCCTCAATGAGTTTGGTTTCCTAAACTTTAATTAGGGGTACTCACAGAATCACCTTTACTGCATCGTTGAGAGAATTAAATGGAGATTGCAAGGGGAAGCCCTCAGCGTGGCGTCAAGCACATATAACTACTTGGTAAAGATCAACTTTCATTGATTTCTGAAGGTGTTTAGGGTTCTGGTGTTCTAATGGATTTTTCGCACAGGCAGAAAAAGGGAGCTGATTCTCATAACTTCATTAATTGTAAAATATTGATCTTCCAATCCTCTTCTTTTATTCTGTTTCATTTGAATGTGAACTTGTGTTCACTAAATAGACAGGATGGTGTTGCTGCTTCTTTTTGTTTTAGAACACTATACTGGTATGTACATTTTAAAGAAATAATGGAATTATATATATATATATATATATATATATTTACAGTCCAATATTCAGATACTCAAGAACTTCTTACTTGGTATCCAGTCTTGATGAAGTTGGGGTGGGAGGATGAGGCCTACAAGATATTCCCTGCAAAGAGTGGCCATCTGTCACTTCCTTTCCATAGACACCTACTGTCAGGACTTGGCTGAGTTTCCTGGGGTGGCAGATAGTTTGTGGGGTGCACAGAGGTCTGTGATACACTCACTCTACCTTCTCCTCCTCAGGTATCCATTCCCATTGTGCAGAAAGCAAGAGGGTCTGTTGTGATTTTTGCCTGGCATTTCATCATTTGTATATTAACATATATTAACGTAATAGGCTCACACCTGTAGTCCCAGCCACTCAAGAGGCGGAGGCAGGAGGATTGTTTGAACCCAGAATTTTATACTAGCCTAGGCAACATATCGAGACCTCCATCTCTTAAAAACTAGAACAAAACCCAAAAACTCAAAACGTTTAATATGGAATGAGGTTAGAAATTCATGTTGTAAATGGCCAGTTGAAAACCACCCTCAACTCCAAATTTTAAAAATTCTGCTTCCTTCAGAGGTAGTTATAATGTGAAACTCCTGATATCAAGACAGTTTTACTAAATCTGCTAATCTCATTTGATTGCTTTGTTACAGATTGACGTTCTCAAGGCAGATCTGGAAAGTGCAGAATGGAAAGTTCTGGAAAATCTTATTCTGGAAGATGTTCTTGAGCAGATTGGACAGCTCATCTTTGAGATCCATCTCCACTGGCCTGGGTTTGAGGTCAGTGGCAGCGACAGTAGCGTCGTGCGGTTCTGGTACAGCCTTCTCAAAGAGTTAGAACAAAAGGATTTCAGGCTTTTTTACAGTTACAAAGATTTATCTAAACCTCAGCTATTCCTGAAGAAAGACATTTTCAATGCAAGTAGCTGTTATACTCTGAGTTGGGTGAACACAAGATGGAAATAGGATGCAGGATGTCATCAAGAGTGCAAGAAAATATTTGCAGAATGGAGCATGTCCACAATTCTAATCGTGAGTTCACTCATCCAGTCTCCTGCTAGCCCATGCCCTGCTTGAGGCAGGGAGTATGTTATTGTCTTTGCAGTACATGAAGCCTGGTGCTTGGCATGTGATAGGGGTACATTAATACTTGCTAAATAAATGAACACAGTCACCCGCATTTTCCCAGACTCTTCCTTCACCTTAACTTGGAAGATGATCCCCCACTCATCTCAGTTTTTCCTAAAATTCTCTATGTATCTATAATCTATGAATTCACCAACATTGAAATGAAATTATATAAATTTCTCATTTTTACTAGGTTGGTGAGATTTTTAAGTTTTTTGCCTACTGTTTAAAATAGGGCTTTAAATTTGAATTTGACTGTCCTTTTTCAAGGTTTTTCTTATTTACCTTGTCAATGATATTCTTTACAATCTTGTAGATTTCAGTCATACCTTCTCAGCCTTTGCTGAGGCCATGGTGTGGCTTTATAAGTAGCAATACTTCTGATTTCTGGGAACTCAATGCATTAAATTCTGTCACTGAGTTAAAGAGACTAGACTATTAAGAGCTTCAACTTGAAGGTGTAAATTCCAGTTTGAGACCAAGTCTGAAGGCAGGAGATCCATGGTCCAGCTTGAAGACAGCCAGACAGAGAATGAATTCTTCCTTACTCTGCCTTAGGTTCTATTCAGGCCTTCAACCAGTTGAATGAGGTCCACTCATATTGAGGTGAAGAATCTGCTTTATTCAGTCTACTGATTTAAATATTAATCTCATCTAGAAATATTCTCACAGATACACCTAGAATAATGTTTAATTAAAGATCTGGACACCCTTTAGTCCAGTTAAGTTGACACATAAAATTAACCATTATAGGTAGGTAGGTAGGTAGGTAGGTAAATAGATAGATAGATAGATAGATAGATAGATAGATAGATAGATAGATTTTCCTACTGGCATGTTTCGCCTTTTTCTTGACTCACATATTCTTTTTTCCATCTTGTTCTTTCAGTTAAAGGCCTTTAATGATTACTTTTTTCTGTCTTGTTCCTTCATTAAAGGCCTTTAATGATTACTTTATTATGAGTCCGTAGGTGATATGGTTTGGCTATGTCCCTAACCAAATTTCATCTTGAACTGTAGTTCCCATAATCCCTACGTGTTATGGGAGGGATCCTGTGGGAGGTAATTGAATCATTCCCTGATGCTATTCTCATGATACTGAGTAAGTTCTCATGAGATCTGATGGTTTTATAAGGGGCATCCCCCTTTACTTGGCTCTCATTCTTCTCCTTCCTGCTGCCATGTGAAGAAGAATGTGTTTGCTTCCCCTTCCGCCATGACTGTAAGTTTCCTGAGGCCCCAGCCATGCTAAACTGTGAGTCAATTAAATCTCTTTCCTTTATAAATTACTCAATCTCAGGTACATCTTCATAGCAGTGTGAGAATGGACTAATACAATGGGTTTATGCTTTTTAGATTTTACATATTAGAAAAAACACTTGCTTTTCATACCTGAATAAAATTTATTTGTGCACAGAAAAAAAAAGAACTTCAACTCAAGATGCTTTTCATACTCAACCTTAATTCCCCTTCACTTCCTATTAAACTAAGCACAGAGCAGAATCTGAGTGTCTTTGCTGTTGCCTCTTCTGCCTTCAAGCATGATTTTCCACCCACAGACTTGCCTATGCTGTCAAATCTTTTTTTAAAAATACATTATCTCTAATAATGTTAAGTGCATTTTTCTTTACTTCCAGTTGGCATTACTTACACAATTGTGGTCTGAGGACCTCGTCTCACTTTCCTAGGTTAGTTAGACAGTTTTTCAATAGCACCAAGCCTTTCTACATTAAAAATTAAGTGGAAAGTTTAGGTTCTCAGTGGTTCAAATGCTCTCTCTCATTACTAGTTACAGGATTAAACATGTGCATAATTTTCTAAAATCCTATTTCAAATAAATAGCATAAAAACCAAATTATTACCTTATTGTCAATTAAATATATTTTTGGCATTTTTATAAGCTGAGAGAGTATAAAACTGTATGTACATTGTTCAAAAATTGGGGGAGGCAGTAGAATACTGATTATTACTAGACTTTACCCCTTTTCCTAATTTTGTACTTCCTTCTATCCTCGACATTCCCCAGGTTGGCTCTTTGTTCCTTGAAGTGGTTTGAAAATGCCATTCCTCAACTGAGAAATCAAATTATATTAGACTAGGATGACCTTACTAGCTTAAGTTGAAAAGAGAACAGGACTTTCTGAGTTAGTTGTGATAATTTTAAAAAATATAGACATGAGGCTTTTATTTTAAAATTCATAGTCCGCCGATAAAAAGTTGTTGAGCTGAGAGGACTGGCTTGAGTAAGTGTGATCTGAAAAGGCAGTTAGTCATTTCAGTGTACAGAGGTATTTCAAATGTGCAGAAGGGTCCACACACACTCTAAATTTGTTTATACTGTTAGTTTATATGGTGTTGTCTCCAAAGCAAAGCTAACTTTACCCCACTTCCGTTTAGATTATATAACAGATTTATTTTCATAAAATTTTTGTATGCTGAAATATATAAACATTTTTATATATAAAGTGTAGAA